CAGATGAACAGCTCAAAAGGCAAGCAGATTAGTCACCTATGTATGATAAAAGTATTGACTATCCAACAATTCAAGTCCAAGCTATGCCATGTTTATAATGTTCCATTGACTTTCTTCATCGCTTTATATTTCTTTTACTCATGTTACTGGGTTATTTCAATCGCTTTCAATTTATGGCTTAGTTTTAGATTATCATGTGTGTTAGTATCGATTTCTTATTTAAATCTCGTAATATTTTACTCCGATTATTAATTATTTTTTTTAACCCAATGGTAATCGCTGTGGTCGACGGGACACATCTTAAGCAACTTCTGATAATGCAACACTTCTTTCTCATTCCGAAAATGACTATTTACTCACGAACATTCCTTTCCGATTACCCAATGTTTACATCTTAGCCAATAAACGATTTAAGTGTTTTTTTATCGTGGTAAATAAGATCCAACAGACACTAAAAGTGATCCACTGAAAAGAATATATTAATAGCTGGATTAATTTGCTATATATATATATATATATATATATATATATATATATATATATTGATGGTTCCCCAACTGATGTCAGTCCATGATGAATACTACTTCTAAAAATTCAGTTATCAATCTCTCCCTCCACCCTGTTATGTTGTTAGTTTTAAGGATTTCCATCCCACCCCATCCTAATGTGTGGTTGTGTGTAATCGCATGCATAGCTATGGTTGAGCTTTTTTCTAAATTTCTTACCTTACTAGAATCTACCAATTTTCAGCTAGCTTGGTTTTGTGCTCGGACAAAAGACTTACTAGTTAAAAAAGATCTAAAACAAGAAACCAGGTATATTAAAGATGCCTTCACCATCAACAATTACCCTCTCAAATTAATTGATAAGCTCCTTAGGAATTGTAAGAAAAATATCAGTAACAGTTATTAGTAGTAGTAATAATAGTAATAATGGTGTTGGTAATGATGTTAATAATAGTGGCGGCAATACTGTGAATAGAGGATCCGAAACCTCCACAGTATTACCATACAAAGAAGGCACATCAGAAACACGACATAGAATTCTCAATAAGGCTGGGATTAGAGTGGCATTTAAACCCATAAACTCACTTCGGAATAGGCTTTGTAGGTTAAAAGATCCTAATGACCCAACTAAGCAGAATAACTTAGTTTACCAACGATTGCGAGATCAAATACATAGGTCAAAGTAGTCGACCAGGGTCAATTAGGCTATCCGAACACAGAAACCTAGCTAGGTGAAAATAGGTAGATTCTAGTAAGGTAAGGAATTTAGAAAAAAAGCTCAGCCATAGATATGCATGCGATTACACACAACCACACATTAGGATGGGACAGGGTGAAAATTCTTAAAAATAACATAACAGGGTAGAGGGAGAGATTGATAACTGAACCTTTGTTTATTGAATCAACACCTAACACATGCAACAGGGATGACTCAGCACCTGTTCCGGATATATGGAAAATCTTACTACCTATCTCAAAAAGAGACGAGGAAATTAGGATTATATAAGGGATATCTCAAAGTTATATATGACTATGGACAGTAAATTATGTCCGAAACATAATCCAGTAAACAATACTGTTACACAGTGTGATAAATCTAATAAATTTATAAAAATGGAAATACTCTTCAGTTTCACGCACAACAAGACTACAATTATTCTAGCAGGTTGCTATTTGTGTATGGTTAGCAAACCGATCATTCTATCTGAGGGATACCGGTCCATCCTAATAAGACAGACATACAAAATCCACGTAGAACATACCACACAAGTGAATCGGTTCAAGTTGCCACACTTCATAGTAGTAAAAAAAGAACAATTGGACAGATAGAAAGTGATATTAAGGTAGACAAAGTTACGTGAGAGGATAAACAATTTGAAGATAACGGTTAGTGTAAATAATCGAGCTTCTGAAGACGTCAAGGAGTGAATACATCTGCGCTATTGTCATTGGTCTTGAGCCATGTCACCAAGAGTTAGTTGTCAACCTCTGATTCATTTCTTCTCACCTCCCAACATGACTCAGATCAACAAACAGGGACACCACGGACTGGTGCCAAGACTTTGTCTCGTCACGCTGAGCCCCCTTTCAACCTAATTTGATTTCCCCCAGCATGGCACCTGGAGGTAGGTGCGGACTGAGCATATTTGGTACATGTTCAAGCCATCTGAGTCAACTAAGGTTCACAATTTCATCAACCGACTTGCGTGCCATGCCTAGTAATCTTCGCCAGACCTCAACATTGCTCACATGGTGATTCCACCCAACCCGAGCAATGCTATGAAGATACCTATGATCAAACACCTGCAACCACTTCATGTCTACTTTTAATGGCTATGTCTCTCAGCCATGCAAAAGTAAAGAACAGATTGCAGTGCAGTATACTGGTCCTATGATAAATAGTCGGATATTTAGCCGGCACCAGAGATGACGCAAGTTAGCAAACGCTAAATGGGCCTCCGTTGTCCAAGCTAAGATTACCTCAGTAACCAATGTGTCCCACCTCATGCAACTGACCAAGTGAGTGAAGTGGTAGAGACATTCCGCGACTTCACTACCCATCATTTTGATTCGAGTACTTGCAGAAGACTTGTCCTGTAGCATCATTTTACATTTGACAGGTGCGAATTGCACGCCAAACATACTCAGATTTCTGCTCAACCCGTTTAGAAGACCCTGCAATTTGTCAGGGTGTCCCCCCAGTATAACAATATCGTCTGGATACTTCAAGTGAACCAGATAACCTCTAAGGAGTAGATTAGTCCTTGTTTGAAATCACAACGATTAGTCAATAGGTCAGCCTGAGTGGTTTCTAACTACTCAGGTTGTTCAGTAGTAAACTTGATCAAGTTGGAATTTATTAATAATCAAATCAGTTGTGCTGTTATCATTAAAATAGCCTTCTTTTGTTCCTGAGCACTAAAGACTTCTTCGAATGATGTTGGTTGGCAGTTATATGGAAATTAATATGAGTTTAACCAACAGAATCTTAAATCTTCAAAAATCTTGTCACCTTTAAAAGAAAAAGAAGAACTGTATCAATAAAAAATCAAGACGATTTCATTCCACCGAGCTGTTAAACAAAAGTAACCTGTAAATTAACCTAATTTCGCATACACCAGGTGCAATCTTCATATTTTTTCAGAGACATCAATAACATATTTTACGGGTGGTTTGAAGAATTATTTTATTACTACGGAAAATGAGAAAAATATCTACTTCCCTGTAAAAATACGTACAGTTAACATTCTCTATTATGTTTTCAAAAACCTCCTATAAGTGAATAAACGGTGAAAAAATACACAGACCTGTCGTACGGTGAATTACTAACGCAGACAAAGAGTTGATTGAAGTACATAATTGATCGACTGTATACCATTCTTGAACTACTGTATCATGAGAACTTTAGATAAACTTGAGACCGCAGATACTATGAACCAGTTTGAGGAGTTATTCCACGGCGAATACTCAGTCAGCAAGTTAGGTAATTTTATCACCACTAGATTCTCTAAAGCCATGTATGTAATCTTGAAAATTAAATGATTTAAAAAGTCTGAGAGGTAGTACTTCGGTTAAACTTAAATACGAGTGGATAACTAAACTATTTCTGTAGACCAAAAGGAAGGTCTAGAAATTAAATGAAAAAGATCTTATTGTCGATAAAGAGTTGAGAAAACTGTCCCTTATTCCCGCCTTTATTCGTGAGAGGATGGAAGGCAAAGTAGAACATAGGATGTTTTACTTGACAGAAAGTAATACAACGTATTTACAGAAAGTTCAGTGAAGGTATGCTTAAGACTTTAGTTCCACCAACTCAACTTTTGTTTTGACACTTTGTTTCCCTACACTACGCAATAGATCAATGAGTTGACAAACGAATATATCTTTTGATAATAATGCAGTTACTTTTAAAAGAAATCATTCTTCTGGAACGATGAAAAAATACATTTAGTCTGACGAATTATATACCTCTTCGGTCCTACTGGACAGTCATTTACAAATAATAGCATATCCGAAGACAACATCCTATCATTCAGAATTTCCATAGACAAAATATAGCGTCGGCTTAGGGTACCCTTAAAGCTAAGTATTTAGTTCAGATAAAAATATTATAAAAGAGTTAATACTAGAGTTTTCTACTTTTCGAAAAATATGCTGAAGATTCTTCCACTATTATCAGTGAATATGACGTCTGAGTCAGTCATACAAACTGTCTCATGAGTGTTGCCACCAAAACATTTTTACGAATATCACTCAACGTGGCTGCCAAGGGCTAGTAAAAACCCATGAGATTTGCTAAAATCGAAATCAGCTATTCAGTTCCACGTAACTTTTCACTCAACATTAGCTATCAGATGAACATACATCTCTCAGTCTGAATTTCCTTACATCGAATTTCGATCATCCATAGAGAGAGTTACAGATTTTGTCCACAGATGCTACTTGATAAATTGCTTTCCCTCACATGATCTGAATTTCTAGACTACTGAATCATCCACCCATTTTCAAGCTGCCCACATCTTGCTATGCATGAAGTATCTATACTTCGTCGGACCACGAATAACTTCTTTCTAAAACATCATTTCGCTTTGTTACACAGTATCTTATTTTGAATGTGTTAGTTATGCAATACACGAAGTTCACAAGTGATATATATATATATATATATATATATATATATATATATATATATGAAGATTCTGAATTTCTTACGATGACAATGATAAATTTTATTTCTTTTGGCTGATCTCTGGATACTGTTGTGGCTATAAATATGCAAGAAAATTTATTCAAATTTGTGGGTATACAGCCGTGCTGATGAAGCAGGTAAAACAATGTCCATTCTTTAAACTATTCTCATCTTTCATGCCCTGATAAGTATTTCTGTGCACGTTAGATAAGAACCCCGGGTAAATCAGTCTTCCATGTGATTAACAAATAACAGATTAACAAATAAAAGAATAAATTTTCTTTCTGAAACAAATTTTCACTTACTTCAATTCTTCAGCAATAGCGACAATACGTTCTACTCGGTTTTGATGAGCACCTAAATCACTTACAAATGCAGCATGCTTTTGAGCCAATGCACGTAATGTTGATAAACTGGCGCCTTCATAGTCTTCTAATGAAAGTGCATTAGCTTTTCCATCTGTCCACGCTTCATGAGTTAAACACTTTAGTCGGAATTTCTTAGCTAAATATTCAATTTGCTCAAGTCGTTTAATTTCAGTAACTAGCCAATCCTGTGGGAAATTCAATTCAAATTACAAATGAAATTACATATGTGACTGTAGTTATTCTTTTCTCATTTACTAACTAAATTTCACTGAAAAAGAAAGTCACTTCTAACAGGTAACTGAAGTCAATATCAACTTTCTAAGTAAAAAGGCACAAAACAGAAGTTAACAATACATTTCACTTATTTCTCGCTTTAGAGAAGCAGCCATCCGAATAAGTCCAGACACCCAGTACTTAAATCTAGTAAACTACAGAGTCGCATCAATTAGCAGTAGCCAAACTCCAAACTTGGTCAATAAACCTCACCTAAAGCTGAGTACCAAGAGAACATAACAGCCATATCGACTACCTCTAGTGATCAGTCCACATAAAGTTAAATTTGTGGCCTTTCGGCTTTACTATGAATCAAAGCTTTGATGTCGGCTATGGCTATCTTACCTTACACGATCTATTCAGTTAGCATAGTTACCAAAACTAGCATTTCTCACTAGGTATCGAATTATGTAAACCAACTGATTGTTTAACAGTAACCGGAGTCATTTGTTGATTTTAAAAGGCGACTGAATTTTTTCGACCAAAGCATCAAAGATCGGAAAATTACCTCGGTTATCAAAAATAATAACCACTTAGTCGAATTTCTGTATCTGGTAAGTTATTCTACCTAGTTTTAGCATTAAACTTCACATATACGTAACATCACATCACATCAAATGTCAGTCAACAATTACGTATGATTTATCTGGGCTCTCGAATTGTTAAGCTTTCTATACACAAGAATGTCAAAGTGAAAGAGTCGGAGAATCTTGCAAACAGTCTTCTTGAATACAAGATTTTTGGATTCGCAAATGTAACTAATTATAATTAGTCGGTGCAAACAAATTAAGCATTTAGTATGGAACAACTCAGGTAAGTTCACCAACAAATGGACGCTGAATGAGGTAATGCCAACCCGATATTTAAGTTATTTCAGTTTACTTGGCTAGTTGTGGTTACTAACGAAAAAACCTCTTAAATTCTACAATATATAATGCTGGAATTCGATAATAGTTAAGGACAAAACTGGCGATAGGTTGTAAAAGCTTAAAAAAGAACACAAAACAGTTTTCGTTTCGCTTACTTCGAAACCTTTTTCATAGTTTTCTAACTGTCGCCATGCTGAATCAATATCTTCTATCATACGTCCTTCAGTTGGTAGGAAAGAAGGACGATTTGCTAATCGCAAACGTGTTTGCAGTGTATTGTACGTATTTTCTAGTAACGTTTTCTCATCTAACCTAGGAGGCTTATCAAATGCTCGATAACCTCCGTAACGATCTAGTTTTGAACGAGCACCCGATATTGTCCCATCAGTTGTTCGATCCTAAAATGGAGAAAAAATAAACAGAATGTAATTAGATGATTTGAAATAAGATAACAGTAATATAATTATCTAATATATCTGTTCTGTCGAAAACTTTCGATATGCAACCCAGGAAGAAATCAATAAACCGTACACCTATTCAATACTTACACACATACAAGGCAAGCTAGACATTAAGAACTGGAAATGTCAACTGTCATCTGAATTCGCAGTTCAGAAAGTCATAACTTTACCAAAATGCCTCACAAGTACTGTACAAACTGGTGGATATTCTCATTATGCATAAACAACTGTTAAGTTTCACGAGAAAGAAATTTCTCTTAATGAAAACAAATTCAATAATATTGAATAAGGAAACAGTAGCAAGAAAATGAACAGAAATTTCTTCTTTCGAACTATAAGGGTACTTGTAAATTTATCACTTACATGTACTAAACTAAAAATTTTCTAGAATAATGCACTTAAAGACTTGATCAAGACTAATTTAGCTGTAATACAGGTTAGCATTATTACGATGACGGGGAAGAAAATCATATCCAATTTGATTTCTATAGAAAGCTGATTATCGTACTTACTGTGAACTTCATTTTAGTAGCTAACTTTCAGCTACTCGTTCATAAGTTTGATTAGTAGTTCACTTACACCAATATGTGCAAAGTATCCGTTACATAGAAAGTCTCGTTCAATACACAAATTTGTTCATGAAGCGTGTTTATTTTGATATCATAAAGAACAATTCAGAGGTGTCTAACCAACCGACATTTTCAAATAAAAGTTAATTCAGTTGATAAAGAAGATTAGCTACTTCTGAAACTTTAGAATTAATTAAAGGTGAAGTATACCATCATTATTGAAGACAGTTCACAAAGAGCAAATAATTTCAAACGTATAAGTTGACTGAGTACAAAATAACGATAAAGTTCTATTGGCTACATTTACAAAAACATTCACTAATTTCGAGGTTCAGTTAGTGTATGAGGAGTAACAGATTGATGACAATTATTCTCGTACGCTTTGCCAGTTGCTTTAACTTCTGTGGCTTATCCAACAGAGTAGAATAATTGGGCAGATGCTTATCCGACTCAATAACGACACTAAAAATAATACAAATAAGAAAGCCGGAGAATATTTTCAAAGGCAACAGAAAGGCTTTTAAAGTCTGTTTACTGAACATTTCATGTGTAAGAAAAGAAAAAGTCTGAATCCAATCTTCAGTTAGGCTTGAATATGCGAAGTGAGGCTTCAAAGTAGTTAAAAACTATGCAGTTGATGAGACAGTGAAAAATGTAACGACAAACGGCTACAATAATATACAACATAAAATTAATCACCTTTCATTACTGGAGAGGGAAAAAACTGCTTAGTAAACATTGATTATTGTAAAAAGACGTGAGTGTTAATTAATTGTAAATAGATCTGATACTATAGAATTGATACTATGGCGATCAGTTTGAATATGCATGTAACACTGGACAAGCTGTGCAGTGAAACCGGCACACGTTCCCCACACAATAAAAAACAGTTGTGTCTAAATCACATTTTATAAGGTTTTGTATCAACTGACTCACGGATCAGAAGTTTAGATGATATACCGTAATTAACGAACGAGTTTTGTTATCGGTTGAAATCGGATTTTGGACAATCCAATTGACAGAGAAATCAAAGCAAGTAACAGCCTTGGTGATTCTAGAACTTTAGTACGCTATATAAATTATGCAAGGGTGAACAGGTGGATAGATTTGTTTGCGATTAGGTTAAAAGAGGGTTAAGGGTGGTCAGAAAAAAACGTGGCATCATTCAATGAAGTTTCTGAGCGTTACTCTGAATCATGTGCCGAGTAGTAGACTGCTTGGTTGGGGTCCGCGAGAAGAAGACCGACTCTTGATGACACAGCTCAAAATTAGTCACAATAGTGCAGACGTATTCATTCTTCTAAAGCTTCGCTATTCACGATAATCTTTATCCCCAGATTGTTTATTCGCTCACACTACTTTTTCTTCTTTGATATCACTCTTTCTCTTTCCATATGTTCTTTGTGTGCTACTGTGGAGTGTGGTAACTTGAATCGATACACGTGTGTGTGAGGCTCTACGTTGACTTTGTCAGTCTGTTAGTGTCACTATCAATGTAGTATAATAAGGTGATACATTTGTACTACGACAGTTTACTTCTATGAAACAATTTTTATATATTTGAAAGGTATGTTTATCACTTAATAAAGGATTGACTATAAATAACATGTTCTACAGCTGTAACATTTACAGGTTTGAAATACTGCCTCAATAAGCAGACAAATTGTACAGATACTTTTGAAACTGAAAGCGACAAGTGGTGGATAATGGCTAGTATTGGAATCTTAGATCTCCGTTTCGTCCGATTTAGGGCTCTTCAACTTGGTATGCCTGCGTCCCAGTGCGTGATGTTGTCCCCAGTAAGACCCAAACACAGGAACAATCGCTTCAAACCCCAGAGTTATAACACCAAAACTGGAAGCAGTAGGGTGAATAAGTGTCGCTCACTGCAAATTCTTTGACCTACTAACTTAGCCATCACAACTACAGAAATTTATTTCTGTTATCGATAATTTACGTATATTTTCACTCTAATATATAAGGACGTTATTATAGGGACGTGATCTTCAGGTTTCAACCTCAACCGGTATGTGAAGCGATATAGACAGTCCACAATCGGCTTCTTCTTTAGGGTTGGACTTCTCTTTTATGAAAAGGGACTTGTAACTCCAATAAATTCGTTATTCAAACCGTAACTTGAGGTCAGTTTTGAAGCATGTGCTGAAACGTTTAGCAAGTACACGAGAAAATAATGCATAAAGAAAAGTAGTACTGAATTCTGTTTGTCAGTCTTTCTAAAGTCTACTCATTCATCAGAAATGAGTCCTCGGATTATGAAAACGATATTAGCATTGCTTACTCTTAAAAACGGTATTTGTTGCTGTATCCAAGCTAATAAATCCGATGCCATTTGTTCATATTCCTTCATAAGTTTTTCATTGTCTTGATTGGTTTTTAAGACTTTTGAAATTCGATTCGCCGCAGACTCCGCCTAAAATGAATGATATAAAAATAACATAAAAAAGATTAAAAGTTACAATAAAGATAAAATCCTTATTTGGTTGGAGGCAATCGACAGGACACTATTTAGGCCATTCAGTGATGAAGTCACTGACTGCAACACTGGGTGACATGCGTTCGAATCTTAAGTGGGACATCAGTCCCGTCGAGGCTGCGGATGCGCCTTGCTGATGAGTGCTTACAGGCAGGAAACCTACGTTCAGGGCTTCCTGCCGATCGCCTCCATCCAACTAACGTCTACTAATGTGCATCGTGATGCTGAGCCTCCCAGCTTAGTAACCACACTACAAAAATGCTCAACAGAATTTGGTCTGCACTCGGGACTAGACGACATGAAATTGCTTGCTCGTGACCGATCAATGCACATTTTCCTCCAAAAGTTGATGAATACACCAAAGGAGATGATAGCTTCATTCTTTCGGGTTGTAAATAAATCAAATAATAAGACTTGACGATATAGATGTGGCTTATAATGCGTTAGGATGTGCAACATACTCCCTATTGGACCATACCACTTCCTACGGTTTCTAACCCTATCCCTACACCTGGAAGTCGAATAGTTGATTACTCATTTATAAACACCAGCGTAACTAAATGGGTACTTACAACATGCTAAAAATCAAGCGATTTGATACAGGTTGAAATACTTGTTCACATGTTTTCTGATAATATGTAAATAGTTTATCACTTACAATAAGGATAGTGGCAGGAAAAAATGTACATGAAAGACAAAACAGAAAACAGAATGATAGCCCATAGGCTGTTTTTCACAAATTCACAAACTGATCCAACAGATCTACATATTTTAATACCGAATGGTCTGACAAGATACGGTAGAGACTAAAGTTCCAAAATTCTATAGCTGTCAAACGTAATTTAAGAAAACATGTGAAAGTTAAGAAAAGTGTTAGTCTTGGCTAAGGCTACTTCCCTCCTAAATAAAGACGAAAAATTATAAGCAGAAAAATTAGGACACAAGGAGCGATATTCAGAAAAACAGAAGGCGCAGTTGAAAGAGGAAAATAGACACCAAGCGATAGCGAACCCAAGCTTTCGAGTAAGATCCAGAATACATAAATCTTCACGTCTAAGTTAGTGATTCCAGGGATTAGTATTACTACTCTGCCTCATTACCGTTAGCTTCGTTTAACCCAATCCTATCTTTGAGAATCGGCTCTCAAACTTAAGTCTAAGTTGCTTATGCCCCAACAGAGCGATCATTAAAATGACTTCAAAAGGATCCAATGGCTTTTATTGGTCACTGGTTACAAGTCAATAACTCAGTTTATCCTAGAAATATAAGGAAAGATACGTATCTTTGCTACTGAAGCATAACTATTCTGGTAGTTTTCATGACTACATCACATCGAAAATAGAAAAGACAAAAGTGAGAAAATGTAAAAACTAAACTCTTGTAATTATCAAAATCTTAAAACAAAATAAGGAATGCCAATGGGTTGTTTTACTTGAGACAAAACTAGTTACAGAATGTGACATTCAGATGTTAGGCAAAAACAGATTTTAAGTTCGGTAGCTTATCTCAAAAGAGGTGGTGTAATACTGTGTTATAGTACAATTCAAACGACTAAATACGTTCAAACCTGAAAACAAAATTCCTCATTTTTCTGTTGCTGCCGAATTTCACTGCAACTACACCTATAATTTCAAGTTAAGCTAATGTGAACAACCTTATGTCTGTATTATGTGCTTAATACTTTTCTTGACCTACTTTTTTAAACCGTAACCAACTGATACTGCCTAACCTTAATAACAGTCAGATATGAAGATACATACTTCTTAAACAATGTCTATATAAATTGGTCATTACAATCACGTTATTTTCCCTTCACACTGATCATAAGGTGTTCACTTATCATGTTTGTTTTCCAATCTTAATTACATCCTTTCTCCACCTTTTTATATTTTCAGGTTAGTTTGCTGGGTACTGCCGAACCAATAAGAATTGATTTCTTGCTATAACTGAAAAGTAGATTGAAGTCCAACTTCTAAAAACTATGCTCTTAAATGACTGTCCACTTTTTTTCTGAAACATTGATTTAAACTGCTGAATGGGAAGTATGATTACTTCTTGTCTATTTGAAAAGCTATTTTACAAACCATTGATTTTACTTGATAAGATGGAAGGATGCGTTTCAGAAATGCAACTTTTAGACTTCCAATTTCTATGTCTTTCCACCTGATCAGACTGAATAGATGATGCTGGAAGGTACAATGCTGATACATTTAGTGATCACTGTAAAGCAACCAATTTCAAGCTGTCTATTCCTGAGTGCTGGCCGAATCCTATCGATCATTTTTAAGTGTGGTCACTAAGCTAAACAGCTCAACATAGAGGCGTACTTTGATGGTATGTTAATTGTTTGCAGGCAGTCAGCAGGAAATCCTAGACCTAGATTTCGTGCTTCTTGGTATTCGTCGGCAAGGCAAAATGCATCACGACAATTAGTTTCCTAGCTTCGTGGCCACATCGAAAAATGATCGATAACATTCAGTCAGCACTCAAGACTAGACAACATGAAATTGGTTGCTGTCTAGTGACCAATCAACGAATCCTAATCTAACCCTACAGGAGGTCGATTGCAGCCCGAATACCTCAGTGGTAACACTATCGACTGCAACAACGGACCACGAGGGTTCAAACTTCAGATAGGATATCGGTTCCTTTTAGGTTGCATATACGCCTTACTGGCGAGTACCGACAGGTACGAAACTTAGGTTTAAAGCTTCCTGCCAATTCCATGTAATCAACTTATACGATGCTGACCTTTATGACTATTATCCCTTAAGCAGATAACAGACAAATGCAAAGAGAGTAAAACTACTTTAGTGAATCGCGTAAGACAATTTATGATCAAAAGCTTTCACTACATAGGCCATCGAATTTTTTCTGACTACTTACCCAATGAAATTATTGATGGTTGAAGGTGATTTGTCGATCTCTAAATGTCTTCCTTTTCAAAGCTTTTATTGAGATGACGGAAAAGACAAATATTATAGTTATTTTTAAAATTAGAAGGGAAATGTTACTTTTTCTGCCTTATTTCTTGTATTTATTCCGGTTATTATTTCACCTTAACTCATGAAAAAATTTACTGGACCATGTTCTGTAAGATGCAAATATAACTAACAAGTGAGAAATGGCCAGTAGTATGATTTAATAAGTTTTTATCAGTGATACAGTCTCACTTACATCTTATCTTTAACTACTTAAATATGACATCATATGTCTAAGAAATATACTTAGAAAATCTTGTATTGCTAGTTTCTTAGTTTCCTGTGGCTTAACAAAACGGTCAATATAGTCATAAAAATAAATTTGTTGAACACAATTCTTGTACTCACTTTTTGTGCACCAGCAAACGCATGATAATAGGCTGAAATATAGGTCATGACAGATCGTTCATCTGGTCTTATTGTATTGACCATGTCTAAAAGGTAAAGAATCACATAAAATGATTGACCAATTAGCCTACAGAACAGCTAGTAACTTTGGAAAATCGCTGAAAATATCTTTTTTCTTAATATTGAATAAAATCTGAAGGACTCCTTTTGGGGAATTCCTACCATTTGGGTATTGTAAATCGAGAGTAATATCGAACCGTCTATACGATAAATTTATTAAGTTATTTTAACCTCTTCTTTTTTTTAAATATTCATTCATATTTCAATGTTTATTGGAAGTCATACCAACCAGAAAAACAAGCACAATATTAACAAGTAATTTTAAATTCTCTTGAACAGATTAACATAAGTGAACAGCCTCATAAACTGGTTTCATTCAAGGTAAACCAGAATATACTATCGGACGCATTCTCAAAGAGACACGCATACACAAGTACCCTATCACTTCATAATTAACAATGAATCCACCTATGAACAATCTTCAATAGTTGTTAGTAGCCATGAGTTGCTGAGTGCCTAATCATCCCTGAAATTTCAAATTTTTTCTCCAAAATCATCAATTTACTATATTATTTTCCCCCTCTTCTTTATCGTATAGAGGACTTAAGTGTGATAGGCCCGTCTAACAAGAGAAACATAGTTTTCGCGAAATTTTGGCTGCTGTAAGTTACAGTAGAATTTCGTTAGTTGAAGTAAGTAAATTCATCAGTTCAAACTTTATATCATCTATCTAAAACTGATTTTTTTCTAAATAGAGTACATAGAATATCTTAAAGCAATGTAAACAATTTTAAACCTGCATGTAACTTTTATTTCCTAAGTCATTAGGTCAATACCAATCTTAACACTGAAAAGGTTTATTCATAGAATAGGAGAGTTGTCACAGTTCAAACATAGTATAACACAAACTAGAGCTCCTTTTTCATTTTAGATCAATTGCCTACTCATAGGAAGCCTGATTAATTAATTCTAGGCTTCATACTGTAGGCGCCTGAGTAGCTTCTAAGTAATGGATTGTAAAATCGGCACATGTAATTACTTTATAAAATGCATTTCCCTCCACATTTGTAATTTTGTTCAACATGTAAGATAATTGGGTATATCGGTGATTCAAAAAGTTATGAGACTGAACACAAGCTGACCTCATCGTTAACAGCCAGAACTAACAAGACTTCCTTAAGACTTACCCATAATTTTGAAAATCTATTTATAAATTTTCTAAGTATGTTACTTCAGAAATGCACGTGAATACTATTAGACGCAAAGATAACCGCTTCGTAGAATAGAATCGAAATGCTTTCAATAGTTCTGTGCACAATCGTGCAGTGGCCAATGACCCACACCTATTGTGTAAGGGCTAATGATACTACCCAACTGCCTAAACGGTGGTGGGTCTCAAACCCCTGACCCACTGGTTAATAGTCATCTCCATATACCATTGAGCCACAACTCCACCCACTTCGAAGAGGACAGTGTGAATATCATGATTGTTTCTAAGGTGATCATCTCATTCAACGTGGAATTAACTGACAAACTGATGAAAGATATGTTATTTGAACTAATGAATGGCAGAATATTTCAAATAAAAGGTGTATCGTGAAATTGTGCTATCAGTAAGGCCAATAGATATCTTATGCATAACATATAACAGCAAAATTCGATGTTTTTTTCCTACTTTATAGAAGTCCTGATGAAATTTGATCTTACATGGACTGATAATCACCGTAATCCTACAAATGAAACAAAGTATGTAAATGATGACCTGGTCATATAGGCTTCTTACACACTCCAGTAGGCATGTCGGTTGGAACAGTGCACTCATCCTTCGGAAATGCTTTTACACAGCCTACTCTTTCAAATTTCAACCCACTGCCCCTGTAATTTGGAGGTATTCGCAGAAAATCAGGTTGACGGCAACCAATGGATATGGGGATTCGGTAAACCATGGTTCCAAAACAGTGATAAATATGGGCTGTAGGACCCAGAGAGACATTTTGTGGCTGATTAACAGATCAAAATTCAAGTCAGAGGATAGCAGAGTGACCCCCAAAACAACGACCAACTTCAATCTGAGCATCCAGATAGTGAGTCAGCAAGTTAGTGAAGTCACAATGAAGTGACAATCAGTTCCCTCAAATATTGGATATGCTTCGCAATATCAAAGTGTAAAGTACTTCAGTAAGATTTATAGGAGCCTATCCTAATTTATGGAGGCACACCGTTGGAAGTAGTCAAAATGTAACCAGATAGCCATATGTGCTGGTAGATTTTCGACATTACAGTTTCAACCATGTTTTGAAATTCCGTGCTGTGTACGACAATAGAAGTGACTTTTAAGACTGTAAACTCCGTTGCTAAAGGTTAGATGTGCAACGCTGCGTTGTGCGAAGTTCTGATCCATACCTGTTGAAATCAGCCGTGTTTTCTACCCTTTACTATCCCAAAGACTGTACACATTTGGCGATGCCATGTAAGTAAGTCTTAGGTTCAACAATGCATGTTTAGGCGTGATGGAAATCATAATTCATTGACTAGAGTAATTGGGAACACCAGCCCTGGTAGTTCAAACATGTGTTGCAAATGTCGTCTCAAAGGTTTCTATACTGTTCACTGATTTCCAGTCTTTAGACTGGTTGGAAAAGCCAGGATAGTGAACAAGGTACTAGGCAAGTACCATACAGGATAGTCGTGTTGAGACAGTAAACACCTTTGTGTGATCTGAACGATTCAGATATTCAGTGACTTCAGATGAAATCCGATGTATCTAAAAGTTGAAATCAGTGGCTGTATTTTATTTTCTGCTAATGAGCAACTTTATAGAGGTAGTAAACACTTCACGAAAGTATTTCACGAGACCAGCTATCTCATCACACTGATTATCTTCTTTCTCAGTTCTTTTCTTTGTCTTGATGGTGCTGTTGTATAACTTTTTCTAGCACACTTATTGATGCCTATTTTGCAATATGTTGGTGTTTAAATAAATAATAATTGCTCATCGTTCTGCACGACTATGTTACGTATGCCAGATTTCACAATACGGACAAATTTATGTGTATATATATGCACAGACAAACAGACAGAGTGAGAGAGACTTCGATACAGAATCTATTCTTGTTGGTCAAAACTTGCTTTGAAGTTAAAGAAAAATGCTATCACACAAACTATTCCGTCGATTTAGTGTTACATAACAGTAAGTGCGAGTTCCCACAGGTAAAATGATCTCCATTGACTTAGTAGTCAAATTCTATCCGCTCTATGATAATCAAAAATTAAGTTCCAAGTTAATTTCATAAAGAATCTCAGACATGCTAAGAGGATTTTACTTCTTAACAATTCCCAGACAAACTAATTTTCAGAAAGATTCTATTTTTCAATACGACAAGCTTGCCAAGTAGGGTAGCCATATCAAAAAATGAACTCTATATCATCTGTTTACGGAGAAAAAGCCTTGCGTGCCTTTAAAGTGTGAAACTTAGCGAGAAAATATTTTGTGTCCAATGTTATTTTAACCCGATTGAAAATAATAGCAGATCATTTCGGAAACTCAGCAATTAGTGTGAGCCAAAGTGGTTTGAGTATTGATGAATTCTCAAAGCGACAAAATATACACGAAATTAGACACTAAGTGATCAGAAATCATAATAAATTCATACATTATACTGTACGATCTGGAAACATCGTTATTTAATGAGCAGAAATGTTAGCCGATCTGTCAGGTAATCATAGATTACAGTCAAGTATGGCTTCCAGAGTAGAGGACAAGTAAGATAAAATGTATTTCAGATACGCATCATCTGCAGTATAATTTAAGAAATTGAGCTGCTGCATTTAAAAAAAGGAGAAAAGACGTCTCCAGGGTCAATAACCCCCCCCCCCTCCCCAAGCCACCATTCAGCATTAGTTCGAAGAATATATAGGTTCCCTACATCACGGTTGGATTCACAGTATTGGAAATCTTCATCAGCAAGTGTATACCATTTCGATTCAGGACTATTCATCACTGTATCCTTCTTTATTTTGTTTATTCGATCTATCTCACTCTTTTTATTTCCAGGTCTAAAGGTTTCCATTTGATATACTATTAAAATGGTTTTGGTAAACAGAAAATATATCTCTTTTATCTACCATTCCGTTTTCAGGAGAGAACTGAAAACAATGTATGAGAAGAAGAAGAACGTAGATAAGCATTGAAAAGCAACACAGTGTATCGCAACTGTCCTTATAAAAACACTATCTACAGCTTGAATAGATTAAATAACAACTTTAGCATCAATCAAAATCTGAATTCATGAAACTGGGTTACAATAAACATACATCCCAGTTCTCATAATCTCAACTGCAAAAGAGTGATAGATCTGGAGTACTCCCAAAAGGCAGGCTTCCACAAGAGAACTAAGAAAGCAGCTTTAAGGATCATGCAACATATGTTTTAACCTAAATGCAGTACTTATCGATGCCTCACATACTTAAAATGCATTAATCGCCCCCCTCCCACTTCACACACACGTACACAAAAGGTGCAGACTCCAAATTTTGCAAAGAACAGACAACCTGACCAACTGATGATCTTTTCAGTGATTAAGTTATGTAATTGTCTTTGCAGCATTTTACGAGTAAACATGTAGCATTAAGTAAACTTGCCTTTGTAGGATTTAAAAATGGCTGTTAGTTTGGATAATTATAAAAAAGCTGAAATAAGCTGTATGGGAATAAGTTCACTTGATTCATTATCATCCTACTTACCTTCAGCATCCAACATCCGTGGAATATCCAAGTGTTTTTCGGCCACATCGAAAGCATAATTTAGATTGTGTATTGGATTATCCTAAAATAAAATTTACCAATTTACAAGGAAAAGTAAAACACATTTTCCAGAAAGTGTTTCATGAAACTTACTTTTCATGCGCAGAATTGAAGATATTTTTAATATGAACTGCATGTATTACTCATTTATTCATCCATGCGTTTAACGATGTGAAGCAAACAATCATGCGATAATTCACTCGCATGCAGCTGAAACAGGATATCATGGCTTACTTTAGAAAGTTTCGAATAGTCGATAAGATCTGGCCGATGACGGTGTATCAGTGCACAAAATGCCAAACCATCTTTCCAACTACATGATGAACAAATATTTAAAAATTTAAAGTATACGTTTGTATTCATTTCAGCAGCAATAAATAACACTGCTGACCCATATATATAAGGCATGTATGGGAAAATAATCACTTCACTGATCAAAAACTCTATATAACAAATATTACCATGGTTAGCTACTCAATGAGATCGATGACTAAAACCGGAGAGTGTTATATCAGGTTATTGGTTTGAGTCTTCCTGAAAGTAGAGTATTCTTTTGACCTCCATCATCATCCGTTTATATACACAATCGTTTTATTAAAGAAGATTCTTTTAGCAAGCCTAACCAATAATTGGCAAGTGATTGGCACTTTGTTCTTGTTTTTTGATAATTGTTGTTGTATTACTATGTGAGAATGCGTTTTCTCTTATTGGTAAGTGGTTCCCGAAAGCTTTCACTACCATGCCACCTCGTTACCGAATACTGAAAAGTTTAAAAGGAGTTAAAACCACCTAGAGGAGAGACCAAGCCGATTTTTAATTGTCATAAGTAGTTAGATGATACGTATTCAGGCAATGAACTAGTATGAACTTCATTTTAATTCAAAGTGTGATAAATGGGGTCCATAAAAAGAACAGTTTTTGGTAACTATCAATCATTAGTTCAAATATCTGAGATAGCCGTGGTTTGGCAAACTTGTATTGATATTGAGTGATGATTGAAGGTGAACAGAAAATCTCAGATAGTCAAACTGATAATCAATATGATGCACCCCTCTCTAAATCAGGTAGATTGCGTTTGGGATGAGAAGTCTTGACTGAGCAGCCAGTGTGAGTATGATCAGGCGAAAGTAACGCGTCACGAATTCACATGGTAGTTGGGTAAATCACTTGGTGATTGAAGTAAAATAAAAATCTGGTCAGCAGCCGGACCTTGTGGCTCAGTTGGTGGAGCAGCGAGCTGATTCGACCCTTGCCGTGGTCCAGATTTTTATTTCATCTTCAATCATACCCAGTATCATTAGCTTGTGCATATTCTTTGACAGGATGGATTTACTTTGGGTATCTAATATTAATAAGTGTTCAAAACAATGCTGACTAGGTCATATCATCTTTTCAATCGTAAAATGATATTTTGGATGCTTAGAGAATGAATCTAAATCAAAGTGACACATCTATTCAAAAGGAGTAACGTGCACACTAATTTCACAATAACTGTGCAGTCTTATTGTTAACGGTATATTAGTTTTTTTTAATGTACGTTCGCAAATCAAGGAATATAAAAGTTTTAAAAGTGAACGAAATCATTTAGTGGGAAAATCAACAACGCCTATTGAGAAAGATCATTTTTCTCAATAGATCGTCTTAAACATTTATGCTACCAACGCGTTGCCTCGATTTATACAATATAAAACTAAGAAGGTTTGAATTACTCTCATTACTTACGTGTGACTAGTAGATTTACAAGGAATTGCTAAGTATTTTTTGTTAAGTCATGATGGAGTGAAACTTCTAGCTTGATAAAGGAGCACACTAAGGGAATATAGGGTTTAGGTAAACAAAATATTGGTTATAATAGTAATAATACGAGTGATTGATGATAATAATAGTGATAACAATGAAAATATGAACATTGAAAAGATTAGAAACTACGTCATTTTGAACAAGGTGAACGAATATCAATTAAGAAGCTTGGTAACAGTGTGAAACTAAACGAGGCTAGAGTAATAGTTGGAAGATAGCAATGGTAATGGCGATGTAGATAAGTCATTTGACTATTAAACGGAGAAGTTCAAAAGGAAATGGTAGTGTAGTAGAATAAGGATAGTGAAGGGGTAAATATTGCTAAGTAAAAGAAGGAATAAAATGCGAAGACAAGACATTAATAAAAACAAATAAGTTCAAAATACTTCGACACCTACCATGATAGATTCAGGATGACTACTGTCTCTTTCTGTACACATAGACTCAGTTTACGAACTCTAATTGCACATTCTTCCACGATTGCAAGCATCTTCTTATTCCGTCAAGGAGGTCTTAGTGGCATCAACGTCATGTCGATAATCCATTAGGTGTTTCGTAATAGAACTCCGTGAAATTTTTGACTCGACTTAGCTTAACCATTTAGGTAAATGCCCAATCATTCGAGTAGATAGATGCCTTTCCGTACAGCTTATGTATTTGCTTTCGCAAGTACATTCGAATTGATATATACAGTTAGATGAGTCGAAATTTGAAGTCATGTATTTTCTGATTCCTTCATCACCCACCTAGTAGTGCTCAGAAGTACTAGCTTAGCTGCATAATAAGTTCTTACAATGACCTTGACTAGCCTTTGCTTAACACCATCCAAGACGTCGTCTCCTTTAAAAGGCAGTTTAATAAATACTGACTTCTTTAACTGCCGTGAGAACTTCTACTTGGCATTGTCTACCTTTTGAATACTTACTGATAACCCTTTCGGAGTAACCATTTTAGCTATATCTGCATATCTATTTCATAATCAATGGTATTGTCACACCAAATTTTCTTTTTTAACCCCTTTCAAAGCAATCGTAGTTCTGTTTGACATAAGTAAATGATTCACTCTGTGTTCCTATGCTTCATTCAATGTCAGAGTCTGTATTATGTGTATGTGTCCCTTTATTGCTCAAGAATATATGAAATCATGTAGGTAGAGTAAACAGCTGACTAGTCCTACTGAAATTTATGAATTCAATAAATTCTGTGGTAATTACGTTTTTTGCTTGTTTTAAATTTGTATCATGAAACATATCTTTTTAATTAATTACCGTCACGAACAAAGAAGCCAGTCAGCCGACGTGTCTTCTCTTGATGAAAGTGATGGCAAGAATGGGGACATGGAATGTCCACACAATTTTTGAGCCTACCAAGGCTGCCCAGATTGTCAAAGAGATGTGAATGTATAGGATAGATGTGCTATGAATCTGCGAGAGCAGATGGAACGGAAGTGGACTTCCAAACTGTTAACTGGAGAGGAGTCGATAATCTACTCCGATATTGTCACCCAGACGACAATCACAACCACACTGAGTTTTTGAGTGGTTATCATGGTGTCCCCAAGAGCATCAAACGTTCTCATACACTGGGAACCAATCTCCTCTATCATCAGGATCATGATAGCAAGATTCAACTCAAAAGGAAGGAAAGTCACAATCATACAATGCAACGCGCCTACAAATAATGCAGATCAAGATAAGAAAGAGGAATTCTTCAGACAACTGCGATCAGTACTATACAAGACCCCACACCAGTTGGCGACATCAAAATTCTAATGAGTTGGGTAACATGAATGCCAAACTGGGAGCGGACAACACAGGAAGAGAACTCATCATGGGTCAAGAAGCACTCGGTGAAATGAATGAGAACGGAGAACTGTTTGCAGATTTCTGCGCATTCGACGATTTGGTGATTGGAGGCAGTGTGTACAAACACAAGGATACTCACAAAGCGACATGGACTTCGCCAGTTTGACACACTAAAAATCAGGTCGACTTCATCTAAATCTCAAGAAGTCGGAGACGCAGTCTACTGGATACAAGATCAAGAAGAGGAGCAGATGTAGGTTCAGACCACTATCTAGTGCAAGGAACCTACCTTCAAAATCAAGTTGAAAGCCTTCAAACAAGTTGGTGACAGACCACAGTTCAAGTTCAACACCCAGAACAGAAACTAAAGGACGAAACTACAAAGGAAATCTTCATGTGGTCAGTCATCAGGACAAAATGGGAGACATTGAGCAACATCTACGAGGAAACCTGGGTGGAAGAACACTGGAACTATTTGAAAGGGTTGTGGAAAGAAACCTGCATAAGTGTATTTGGAAGGAAGGAGAAAGAAGACAAGGAATGGATCTCCATGGACACGGAAGCTGATAGAGAGAAAGATAGTGAAGCAGAAAATAAGCCAGTGCAAGGATGAACAACGAAAAGAGGAACTGAACACAACCTATAAAACACTGGACAAAAAAGTGAAGAAGAGTGCCTGCAAAGAGAAAAGACACTTCTACGACACACATTGGGAAGTGAAGCAGAACAGGCTGCTGGTAGGAGAGACCTGACAACATTATATCGAATAACCAGGTCATCATCCGGGAAGAGATCAACGCATACGAAACCAATGGAAGATAGTGAAGGTAACCTAGTTAGCAAAGAGGAGAAACAAAGGAAACGATGGGCTGACCACTTCAAAAAGCTCTTAAATCGACCACCACAACCACCTGCAACTCGTCCAGAAATACCACTGGCAGCCTAGCCACAAAATTACCAGTGAACCCAGGTCCTCCGACAGAAGCCGAAGTCTTAAAAGACATAAAGTTGCTGAAATTCGGGAAAGCAGCAGGACCAGATGGAATCCCACCAAAAGCACTGAAAACAGACACATAGACATTAGCGGACATACTCACACCACTACTACAGAAGGTTTGGAAGGAAGGAGAGATACCTACCCATTGATCGGAAGAAGGGCTACCTTGTCAAACTCCCAAAGAAAGGAGACTTAAGTCTTTGCAAGAACTGACGCGGAATCATGCTGCTGTCCACCCTAAGCAAAATATTAAGCCGTATCGTCCTGAAGAGACTAAAAGATGCGCTGGATTCAAAATTACAATCTGGCTAGACTGGATTCAGGAAGTACAAATCATGTGCGGACCAAATTGCAACGCTACGCCACGTATCATCATCGAACAGAGTATAGAATGGCAATCAACTCTCTGCCTCAACTTCATCGATTTCGAAAAGGCCTTCAACGGCGTCGACCGAGAAGTAATTTGGCAGTTGGTTCAACACTACGGAATACCACAAACCTTTATCGACCTCATTCAACAACTATATGAAGACGACACATGCCAGATGATTCACAGTGGAAAACTCAGTGACGACTTTGAAGTGGAGACGGGAGTAAGACAAGATTGCCTACTATCACAGATCATCTTCCTGATTGTGGACGACTGGATCATGCAACAAACTGTGAGGAGCGAGAAGAGGGGTATACGCCGGCTGGACCGATGAAAAGACCCTAGAAGACTTGCACTTCCCCGATGATGATTTATGTTTAATGTCTTGCAGCACAAACTCGAAGATCTACAGGCAAGAACCAACAAGTTGACAGAAGAGGCAGGGCAGCGAAGACGGAACTTCAAGTGAGCGTAGAGAAGACACAGGTGATGAAGATCCCCAACCAACGACAACAACAAGTGCCAATCACCATCAACGGGAGAAATTTTAAAGGAAATAGTCTCTTTCACCTACCTACCTATCTAGGCAGCATTGTTTCAACCACAGGTGGCACAGACGAGGACGTCAAGGCCAGGATCGGGAAAGCAAGAGTGGCCTTCATCAATCTGAAACCAGTGTGGAGATCTACTGCACTCACCATAAAGCGTCAACAAGGTTCGGATTTTCAACACTAATGTCAAGTCGGTGCTTCAATATGGTTCATAAACTTGGCACGTTATGAGAAGCATTTCCAACAAACTACAGACATTCATCAACAGCTGCCGCCTACGCTCACTCGATAATGAAGATCAGATCAGATGGCCAGGAAGAATAAGCAACAAGGAACTCTGGCAACGAAGCAACCAAGAAGCTATCGCCCAACAAATATGCAGAAGAAAGTGGATGTGGATTGGATTGGGCATATACTGAGAAAACCATTTGGAGAGATCACGTGCCAGGCCGTCGAGTGGAATACAAAGGGGAAACGACGAGTTGGGCGTCCGACGGTGACTTGGACGAGATGGTGTGAGGAGGAAATGAAAGCTTCTGGACAGTCGTGGAGCCATGTTCAAAAGACTGCAGAGAATAGAGTGAGATGGAGGCATGACGCTGAAGCCCTATGTTTCACTAGGAATCCGAGGGAAAATGATAAATAATAATAATGAACAAAGGAAAGCACAACTAATAGCTAAGCGTTTAACCAGTTTTCATACATGTGGTTAATTACTGACGTAAAAAAACAGTAATAAAGATTTGAATTTTAACTTTGGAGAAAAGAAATTTTAGAGATAAACTGACCTATTATGAAAGTTTTGTACGTTCACATTTTTGTACGGAGCAGTTTTACGCTGACACCAAAGTAAGAGACCTTCCTTGGCAGACATTTCTATGATGATATCGAAAACATAAACCTTAAAAATGAGTTGTTCAAAAATTCAAAACTATTTGAGCATAAGTTACTTAAAGACAAGAGTGCACTAACCATGATATCAGTAAATAATGCGTAAGTTAGAACTGTTAGAATATCGTCACTTTATCTGCAGTATCGCTTATATCATGAAGACAGACAGATAAATCTAATGCATAGAAATTATTAGTTGCAGATATCTTCTATAACTCCATCTACATTTGAAAAATCATTGAATACCATGAATACTCGGCTTGTTGTTCGGTTGCATTCTGTTCCAAATAAACGACTACGGGTTAAGAAACAGTATTGCAATGGTGACTTTCCCTTATTTCGATATCGCGAATCATAGCGTTTGAATGAAGAGCCCTAAATGGAACCTACAGGTTCTATAAGGATATGGAAATCAGGAAAAGACAGGCAAATGAAAAAAAAAAAAAGATGAAACGAAACATAAGCTAAGTCGCTTCTTGAAAACTAGGTATACTGCCGAGCCTGGTTTTCAACCTCAATTCACTTGAGCAGATAAAAAGTATGAAAAGTATATAACGTTATAAAAACATGAAGTTCAGTGAAGTCAAACATGAAATCAAGCAAACAGTGATACACAACCACCAAATTCATATCTGGTATCAGACTCTAGAAGTTCATTTGGGAAAATCGGTGATGAATGTGAAAAAAAGGCTGTGACGAGATAAGATACTAACTACTTGACATCCAATCCAGAAAAATCTCGGGACATATGACATAGATTTGACACCGGATTCAGGAATTGATGCTTTTTTCGTGATATGCCAGTATATTTTGTTTCAAACTAGTACCCTGAAAAATTGTTTAAGTGTACACAAGTGATATTTACCAACTTTTATAGGAATTCTATGAATTGGTCTTCAGACTGACGAGTAAAATATATAAAGTTGAGTTTGAACAACTATTTAGAAGAACATTTATTCTCTGGATGTGAGTATGGAGTAAAATTTCAGATTTTTGTACAACATTTTTGTGTACAAACTGAAAATATCGATCAGTTAAAGTAAAAGATAAGTATGACGAGTTAATCTTTTGTTACAAGGTTTATGTTTTCATTCTAGTCAGTGTATCTAGTTAATCGAAAATGCAAGTACGTTACAATTAACTTTGTAAAAAAGTCAAGTGAATTATGCACTCACGCTTACACAAGTTTAAAAGAACAGTGGCACGCTGAGGTACTACAATCGGTACCTTAACATACTGTACGCCGTTTTCTAAGACATAAAATGCAAAAAAGCGTTTCGCAATATTTCGGAGAGATTCCTCATGTTTTAGAAGTGCTTTTTAGAAAAGTGGAGCAGCCTGCATAAAGAGCAATGCATGAAATTCTAAAAATCCTAGGTGAACATAAATTAAACAGATAGAAGCATAAAACATCTCAACGACGTACAATACTTGAGGTTTCCATATCTCCCAAAAGGACGAAAAAGGAAATAAGTTATAATTGTATAAATGAGCAATAAAAAGATGACAGATAAATAAAGAATAGTAGCGCCATGAATATTCACGACGACTAGAAGTAAATACATGAACGATATTGAAATATATTATGAAACAAGAAATCCAGATTTAAAAAGTTGCATGAAAAATGTTTTACATGGGGATTTTAATAATGCTAGTAAAAGTGTCTGTAAATATATAACTTTAGCATCTGTTTGGTTTCACACGACCAAGGATTTTAAGAAGAAAAATAAGAATCAACTTAGATACAAGCTTTCTATTTTGGCATACTTAGAAACCTTGTACATGACGTTCTAAAAAAGGACAATTGAAATGTAAATAACAAAAATGAAACCTGATCAGTGAACCTATGATATCCTTTAAAAAAGAATGTCAAATGCAGAACGCGGTGACTGAATAGAATCCTTCATTTATCATAGAAACACACGTAAAAGCTTGGACTCACACAAACAGTTTGTGACTTCGGAATTTTTGCCTGTAAAAGGCAGTTTCAATATACCTCCTCATATTCTGAACACAACTATCCCTTTTGCGGACGGTCTCGAAGAAACGAAAGCACTATCTTCTGTGGATGAACCACAGAATCCGAAGTCTGTCACCCTAAAAGTGCTGAGGTTCTGTTACTAAACTTGATACTCCTGATGTAAAGAAGCATTACACAGTAGCCCACAGTAAATGTATCCCCTCAATCTGCCAGTCACGATTATGCTTCAAAATGCATCTCACGCAGACTGCAGTTAAACACTTGTAGACGCTCTTAACTAATATGCGTAATAAGAGAAAAACGCGCTTTGTCAACCCCATCTTAGCTGAAGAAACCGAATGTGACGAGGTTTTCGAAGACGCTAAGAGTGAAGCAAAGTTTATGGCCGGATATTAATCTGGGGTCCTCACACGAGAACTCCTTAGGGAAACGAATTCAATAGTAGAAGCACTCACACCCGGCAGAACTAACTCTCTGGATTTTGATATCAATGGTGTATTTAGAACATTTAATACTGTGAATATAGGAAAATCGAGGAGACTGAATGACCAGCAACCGAGAGTGGTCAGACAGCTTATACTTCATGTAGTTGATTCACTGAATACTGCATTTAGACTGTCCCTCTGTCAAAGAATAATAATAATAATAGCGGCTTTAATCTGAAAGCTATTTTAGAGATTCCCTGCAGAATTTTCAGCACGCCAATTCGATAGAGACAGTATATGTTCCATAAAGAATTAGGAATATCACAAACACACCTATTCACAGGGCAGGTTCTTTACAACACTCATAAAAATGTAGACTAATACCCTTAACTGACACTGTAGTTAAAATCCTACGAAGAGTAATCAAGATAGCCTCTACGGCTTGTCTAAAAAGCAACACTTTATCGTAACGTTCGCAACTTGGCTTCCGTAGAAGTTTCGCTTCCAAACCTCACGGTCGAACAAGGTAAGGTTAATTCTAAGGATAATAGGAAGTCTACAGATTTCATCACCATAGACTTCAACCAAAGCATTCGATATAGGAGTCCAATTCACGTTCCTCATGGAACTGGAAAACTTTGGAATCACTGGCAACGTACTTCCATTGATCACGGAATTGCTTGTTGGTAAGAGGCAAAGAGTTGGCATAAGTTCTCGACTCTCCTGTCGGAATTCGGTAGAGTTTGAAGTGCTGCAAGACACAGCCGAGGATCCACTGGTATTTCTCCTACATATAAACGAACTGCCGAACGTCACGAAATCTCTTACAGCTCTCCACGCTTATCTGAATGTCTAGCCAGAAATTAGGGATGAATAGGATGTACGTTCACTACAGCTAGACCCCTATAGAGAAATTTCCGGTCCTTATCAACGTAGGTAAATGTGTGAAGATACACACAGGGAGTAGAGAATGTAACACTCACCACTGGTAGGACTTCTCTGACCTCAGTATTGACCCACCATGACCTAGGAGTCACAGTAAGTTTTGATTTGAAGACTGCAGAACACTACCGACTGACCTCACCCTGGACTGCCAAACTTCATGAAATTTCGCTTGACTCTCCACACTGATGATGTAAGTAGTTGGCAAGAAATAAGAGATAACGATGATGGACATACACTTAAGGCACACCTAAACATTTCGTTAACGTAGTCAAACGAACAGCTGCAGCCTATCAGCACAGATAAGTACCAGTCCCAGAACATTAGCCATGCAGACAGCAACGCATACGACATTGGTATGATTCCTCTGCCCTTACTATTGACTCACCATGGCCTAGGATCTACAGCAAGTCAAAATGACAATACCACAGCGCACTGTCGACTGATTTCAGTTCAAAACTTCAGGATATCTTAGGGAATACGTGGCACATTTACGATGGTCGGTGACAATATTTTAACTAAATAATGCACGCCCTTGGTTACATCCAAGCTAGAAACCTAGGCGCAAGTGTCAAGTCCTTGTTTAGAGGGTGACTCAGACTTTCGGAAATGGTTCAAGGATGGCCACTTTTATGATCCTTACAACGGGAATTCTAAACCATGAAAAACAACTTAAGGGTCTGAAACCCTTTTCTTTACGTATCGCAGGCAGAAACGACATTTAATCATACTATACAAGATCTCAAGGAATGACGTTGAACGTAATATTTTTTCCATTTTCTTTCCCAACAATTTAGCCGACAAAACAGGTGATTAAGAAGGAAAGAATGAACTTCATCTCCATAGATAACTGATTTTCAATTCCAGTAATCAGCACTCGCAACCAACCTCCAGGAAAAGAGATGTCTGTGTCACCAATTTACTCATTTAAAAGAAACTGAGCCAGCAAAACGACCTTCTATTGTAGACCCATCGCACTCGATCCCAAAACAACAAATCCGAATCTGAAATCTGAGTACAACAGTAAATATTAGGATTATCTTGTGATAGAAGTAATAAGTATATGAAAATAGTCCTGGAGGATCATGTTATCTAATATAATTGGAATGCCTCCCTGTCCACATACAGATAGCTAACTGAATAACAAAATCAACGCAGAACCTCGCACACAAGTGTACCGGTTTGAGCTACCATCAAAGAAAGAGTATCGTGAGGGAAAAAACAATCTACGGATAAATTTTAGTGTGGATATTCAAGTTTTAGATGTTAACGAGTGAATAAATCCGCGCCATTGTAGCCGGTTTTCATCCATGCCACCAACATTCCTCAATCACTGATTCCTTTCATCTCGAGGACCTTAATCACGTAGTCTACATCTCCACACATGACTAAGTCCAACATTCAGGGACTTCATCGACTGGTACCAGATCTTTGTCTGGCCGTTCTGAACCCTATTCCAACCTAGTGCAACTTCCCCCAGCATGGCGCGTTGAGGTAAGTGGTAGCTTGGCAAGCACAGTACATGTCCAAATTATCTCAGCCGACTGAGATACATAACCTCATCAATTGACTTGCCTGTCCCGCTCAGTGCACTTTGTCCAACCTCAACAATACCTACACAATGACTCCACCAAGCCCGAGCAATGGCACGAAGACACCTATTATCAAGCACTTGTAACCGCTTCATATCTACTTTCAACAGCCACGTCTCAGCCGTACAAAAGGATGGAAAGAACTGCGACACAGTATACTGGTCCTTTGACAGATAGTCGGATATCTCTCCACTCGGCGCCGCAAGTGACACGAGTTGGCAAATGCCGAATGGGCGTTCTGTATCTGAGCTGAGATCCCATCAGCAACCAACCCGTTCCACCCAATGCAAACTACCAAGTGGATGAGGAGTTCGACATATTTAACCACCTCACTCCTTATCAGTAAACTGCGATTACTTGCACCGGACCAGTCCTGGTGCCAGCGAAACCCCTGCCAAACATACCCCGCATTGCGTCAGCATCTTCACCCAGCAGGACAAGATCTCCTACATACGCCAAGTCAACCAGATGGTCGCCAGGGAGTAGGTCAGTCCTTTCAAAGTCAGACATACCTAAGGTTATGTCCATCAGTACGTCTACAACGAAAGTAAATGGGAACGTTTACAATGCGCATACGTGGTAGACACAACTAATTATCATCAGTTCAAATGACAACTCTCCATAAGCGCCACCACGGCTGGACAAGTTCGAGTAGACGGCTTTGACAGGCGTTATGTACTTGCTCAGTACTTCCTTTAGTCAGATACTGCTACAAAACCTCACTGTCGACTGAGTGAAATGCCGCCTTCATGTCAAGAAATGTAGTAGGTATCGGCCACTGGCCCATAGGTATACTTTTGTTCCACAACCTCTTGGAGGACCAAAATGTGATCGATGTAACCTCGTTCAGCTCTGAAACCTGCTTGGTTTACTCGAGTGTGGTGTTCTCGAGCTCTAGTTGGGCGTCGGATAACCATGGAACCTAGGATCTTGAATGCAATATTAGTCAAACTGATTCCCCTACGGTATTTATAGGAAACATTCTCTTCCTTCTTATAGACTTTGATGATCGGAGAAGTAAACAAGTGTGACGACACTGCCTCTGATTCCCCCGTCATTTTAGGAAGCAATTTCCTACCACTATCCTTCAAAACGTCGTACAGCAAACTGTTAAGGCCTGATGCTTTCGGTCGTTTCAGATTCAGTATAGCTTTCTCAACTTCAAGAAGAGTTTTGAAGACCAAATCTGAGTCCTACCATTCAGGTCCGGGCTGGATTTTAGGCAACTGAAACGTTGCTGCAGCCAGTTGAACTGGGCTTCAAGGTATTCTGTCCAACGTTATAGCCATCTGTCCTGGGAGGTAGTCAGCCTTCCGTCTCCTCCGGCGATCATTTCACTCGTCATCGTCTTCTTGCCGGTATTCTTAATAGGCCTAAATAGTTGCCATATTATCCAACGACGATGCCTTCTCCATCTCTCTCGCTTTCGTCACCCACCACTGCTCACGATCGACGCGAAGACTCTTGGCCAACTCACGTCCAGTTTGTTTTCCCTCTCCATTGTGATGAGATTTAATTGGAATAAGTCTTCTCGCATCAATCAGTTCGAATGACGTCGCGGAAATCCAGTGACGTTTGTCAGTCTTCCGGTTTGTGTTACCAACTGTCTTTACGCTGTTTCTACAGCAGACTTAATATCATACTCAGTTTCCTCAGGATGAATATTGCTGTCACGTTCTGATAAATGCTTAGCTACCTCTTCCCTAAATGCGGACTTGACCTTCTCATCTTTCAAGCGACTATAAACAGGCTTCACTATCGCCTGTTTTCTGTGGCCAGTAAGGCGCAGACATACACGAGCCCGTACTAGCGCGTGATCAGAGTCTACACTGGCACTCCAGAAAGAGAGGCAATCCTCCACCGATCCTCTTCAACGATGACTTATAGCAATATTATCTATCTGTGTCCAATGTTGGTTAGATATCGGTGGATGCCATGTGAGACAATGTCTCTTCTTATGCTTAAAGTTAGTGCTTGCCAGAAACAAGTGATTGTCGGAACGAAATTGCAACAGACAATCACCGTTCTCTCCGATTGACTCAGATTCCCTACTTGGGCGTTAGGGTCACCTGCCATTGTAAATACATCTGAATGGTTTCCTTTCCGTATCAAAACTGACAACTCATAGAAGTTTCCCTTTGCACCATCCGAGCTTCACCCGGTGGGTGTGAGGGCGGAGATTACGAACAGACATCGCCTAGTCTCACGATCCTTCTTAGTCCTTCAGATCCATTAAGTGAAATAGCAGTTGAGAAGTGCACTGTTTGCTCTACAGCTCGATGCCATGCCTAAATCAGCGAGTCTAAGAGAACTAGACATTGGGTCTTCGGATGGTCTTAAGTTGGATTTTGAAGATCCAACATTATGGTTAGGTGAGGTCAATTTATTAACCACACTCAAACCGCATATACATGTCTCACAGACACAGCGCATATCTACGGTTAGAGATTCGAGAGTTATTTTAAGCGATACTCGCCGTTCGATTTGGCTTAGAGTTTGCTGGAGTTTTAGAAGACAAAGAATGAGGCTCTAATGGATTCGATCGTCAGCAATCGTTGCATAATGAGAGGATGAGTAAAGCGTAAGAGCCCTGATGTTAATATCAGGAGGTGAAGCCAAAGGAGGAGGCATAGTTGAGGATAGGTTGCATGTGGCTGAGTTTTGTGTACCACTGAAAGCGTGCAGGGAGTTGACACTCTCCAAATGCCTAGACCGTGGAAGGACAGGTCTTCTTGAAGTACGTGGAAGAGAAAAATATTTATGTGACCGCATAGCCAATGAGACATCTGATTGGGGCCTGTCACAAACGCCTTTTTGTGGGTTTTCGTTTCGAGGTTTGGTTGTCTTAACGCCGGATAGAGAACCCAGACCGCCGGCACCGGAAGACCGTGGGCATGTTGGAGTTTTATTTTTGGGGCCGTCCCTTTCTAACCCTCTCTTCCATGCGGAAGGCAGTATCAGCGTGGCATTACTGGTTATTCAAGGTAAACACCTTACTGCAGTCACGCTTCATTCAGCTAGCTGCAGTTTGACTCCACTCTCTGATCTTTATCATAGTCTAGTAATTTAAACTACAACTGTGGCTGCTTTCAGGCCTACCACTATTCAACAGGCCTTTACGGCACTTTGGGACCTCGAAGGAACAGGCGTCCCAGCAGCATAGCTCATTGTTTCATTGTGATATGCAAGCCCCACCACCAGACCAAGGTAGCAGCCAGCGGTTGGGTGTTGCAGACAACTGATCATGGTAAACCTTGATTGCGTTCAAAAGAATAAGCGGTGGTTGAATTTCAAACCAACAATGTTCATATCATGTCGATATACTTCTGTGGCACTGGGTGCGAAATTTTTAAGAAATGAGTAGCTACCATACTCCCAGTCTTTTAAACCATTCGACAACCTTTAACAAACAAATGTGATTTGGCAATATAACTGGTACTGTTGCACATGTGTTTTATTAGCTCTACGCCTTAGTTTAAATTTAAAAATTAAAGTTTGACGTGGTTGACATCATTCTGTAAATATACCAAAATTTTAACTATTGGTCCACCAACTTTTACTACTTTATTATTGTTATAGAAATGCTTCGCCGATTATCACAACAAATAAATTCCCCTATAAACATCGTTTGAACTTCAGAAAAATAATTTAAAACTGAATCATGCGAAATGAAACACAAAATCAGAATAAATTCCCAATTGAATCACTTCAGCATAAATATCATCCCAAACACGATAACAAATAGTACCCATCAAACAAAGTAGTTGCACAATCACCTGCAGAAACTGATTTAGATAGAACACAAACGTTTTACGGCAATATGATTGTGGTTATTACTATTTATTGACATACTCCTTATTCTCCGTTGTTTTGTTCGATCGAATTGTTCCACCTTTATTGGCATATGGGCTCCTATGCAGATGCCTCGATATTGCCTGAATGTTAATTATGATAATCTGGTTTGTTGTGGTTAGCAGAAGGATCCAGGATGCGCGTTTCGTCCTATTTGGGACTCTTCAGCCGGATGTACCTGCACCCCAGTGAGTCTCAGTGGTAACAACACCACTCAGGTGCAGGTACATCCAGCTGACGAGTCCCAAATAGAACGAAACGCGTACCCTGGATTCTCCTGCTAACCACAAGCAACCAAATTATCATAATATGACTGTGGCTTCAGATTGTGCTTACTCATCTTGTAATGACGCACAACCGGGAAACCTGGATAGCGCTCTGCAACTTTCGGGCAGTTACCGGCAAAGAGACATCACATGGAGTGTCAAAATGAATTGATAATACCGAAAATGTCAAAGATATTACCCGAAAGTTACAAAAATTATAAAACCCGCTAGAATACAGCCTCTGCAGTTTACTCAGTTTTCGAAAGGATCCACATAGACCCGCTGAAAAGCAGTGTACATGACAAACATTTACACTTGTAGATGCTCAGTAGTAAAATATGCAATTTATAACAATTTGACGGCACACTGGAGAGTGGAATTTTATGAAATATAATTAATTCCAGGGACGTACCCTAAAATCTCAAACTGCATTGTATTTGCGGATGGGTGCAGTCAGAAAAAAAGCAACCAGTTTTGAGAGTGCAAAAAGAGGCGGAGATTGCAGAAAACGTCATTTTACAAATGATTCTTAAACATATCTTCTCCAACTAGTAAGTAGATTTTTGTAGTCGTATAATGTCTGATAAAGAGTAAGCGGGCTAGTATGACTTCTCCGAAAATTCCAGCATTTCGAAAGTGTCAGTGAAATCCAGCCAACATACACTAACCTTCAACAGTAATATCCTGAATGCAGAACCGCAAAATAATTGTCCAGATCATCCCAAGTGTCATTTTGATATTACCATCCACGATTTCTAGGACTTAATAAAGCAATATAGCTGGCTACCTTCAGCACCTATTGAAACTAGCTGAACACCTTTACTTTCTATATATTCCAATGCCTTATTAACATTCGCTAATTTGTGAAAGCGCATTCGTCCTCGGTCGGGTCTTGGCAAAGGCTCTTCAGATAGTGTTTCCAGTAGCTGAATCAGCTTAAGCCCATCAGTGAAGTCTTCTTCAATGTTTTCAATCGAAGTGTGAACTTTCCTTAAATACGAATTGCACCAGGCTGTAAAAGTCTTAATTAAGGAATTATTGGTTGTATGGACAATTCAAACATACTTTTTTCTGCTGTATTTCCCACATAGGGTCAAGATATGCTTGTCGATCCCATTCCTCTTCTTCTTCCTCAGCATTAGCATAGTATTCATCTGGATACACGACATAACCGTACTCCATTTTGCGAAAACTGTTTGAAGTGATTCTAGGTTTGGTAAAGTACATTCGGGTGAAGCATTCTAACAAAAGCATCAGTTTGTAGAAAAAAGATTTGCCTTCAGATAGAAATGGGAACTCTTGAAGTTTCCACAACTTCAAATATATAATTTTTCTTTGATAATATTAACATGTGGAATGTTTCATATCAGTTTTACGAGCTCCGTTTCCTCATCGTCCGAAGTAGGTTTTCAATATCCAACATCCAATATCAATAATGCAAGTAGACGAAACTCTTAATTTTCGAGCTCTCGCCTCTGGCTCCCAATTCACAGGTGGATTCCAGTGTGATGGATCCTAACGACTCTTGGTCGTATATTTGACAAAACAGACGGTTGTATGGGTGTTACCTTAGTTGGTAGGAAGATTTTTAGGAGCGGCTTCTAACGACTTATGTTTGTAAGCATTTGTTCGGTATTATTTTATTCCTTTCAATCCAAGTGACTGTAGTGGTCGATAATTCGTTTCTTTCGTCTAGTCTCTGAAATCTTTTAATTCCTGATAACCCTACGATAGCTTGGCACAACACAACTATCTATTATGTTTACTGCATTTCACTAACCCAGGGAAGTTACCTGTCAGTGGTTTGCCACAGGAGTTCAGCGGTTACCTGAAATATCACAATGAACGGTGTTCTTCAAGGAACCTGTGTGGTGGAAAACTGCTCATCCATTTTATTATTCCAAACGACTCAGAAGTATATAATTAGCTGCAGAATTTTGCGTACCCTGAGAAACTTGTCTCTCAGTTATACGGAAGACTCTGAGGGGTCAGTGGCAAGAAACTTTTGTGAAACCTGTGCGAGACCTCAACGTGATAGGCCTGTATGAACTGCCTAATTACAAGGTTCCAGATCCCGTTCCCAAGCCTCAAACCCAACATTATGGTGTAAACGTGGCCACCATTTGCACACGTGATTCAGCGATCGTCTGATACCCAGTATTAATATTCTGAAGCTGCAGGAGTTGGTTTGAATCCAAAAGATTTGCACAATAATTGTGCAAATGGGTATCAATCGAATGTGAAGCGAGTTCAGATTCGGATTTTTAGTCTGCAGATGAAGGCTCTGAGTCCGCTCGAATTCTTGTTAGGTAGATCTCTGTGCTTGTCCACTCCTCTTCCAAACGAGCCAGCTAATGACACGGAAACCGTTTCTCCTGTTAGTGAAACCCAGGAGTTGACTATTTGGCATGACAGTCACTATTCCGTTGCGACAACACCTACCCATTGCTTTTTTTATTCTGCTGTTATGAGGAGCTTTAGCGCGTTTGGAAGGAAATGAGAAGTTAGATAAAACCTCAAGCCATCACCCGTCTGACATTCGATAAACAGATGTAGCTTATCCCCTTTGGCAGTTCTTCGTGGGTCCGACTAGACACGCCAGGCACCACCGGATTGGCTGTTCACGGAAAACTTTTAGAATGTCCTAGGTGAATTCACCAAAGGATTCGCCACATTCGTACACTTATTCCCTTTGCGTCTGAACACTAGAAGTGCTTGAATTACAAAAATTTCCCCATGTAATTCACTTCGTCGTACTTAGCTTGCCCTCAAACTCCAAGGCGCGGTCAGTCGGTAGCGTTCTGCAGTCTTCAAATCAAAACTTACTGTGACTCCTCATTTAGGGAAGAGGTAGTTAAGCATTTATCAGAACGTGACAGCAATATTCATCCTGAGGAAACTGAGTATGATATTAAGTCTGCTGTAGAAACAGCGTAAAGACAGTTGGTAACACAAACCGGAAGACTGACAAACGTCACTGGATTTCCGCGACGTCATTCGAACTGATTGATGCGAGAAGACTTATTCCAATTAAATCTCATCACAATGGAGAGGGAAAACAAACTGGACGTGAGTTGGCCAAGAGTCTTCGCGTCGATCGTGAGCAGTGGTGGGTGACGAAAGCGAGAGAGATGGAGAAGGCATCGTCGTTGGATAATATGGCAACTATTTAGGCCTATTAAGAATACCGGCAAGAAGACGATGACGAGTGAAATGATCGCCGGAGGAGACGGAAGGCTGACTACCTCCCAGGACAGATGGCTATAACGTTGGACAGAATACCTTGAAGCCCAGTTCAACTGGCTGCAGCAACGTTTCAGTTGCCTAAAATCCAGCCCGGACCTGAATGGTAGGACTCAGATTCGGTCTTCAAAACTCTTCTTGAAGTTGAGAAAGCTATACTGAATCTGAAACGACCGAAAGCATCAGGCCTTAACAGTTTGCTGTACGACGTTTTGAAGGATAGTGGTAGGAAATTGCTTCCTAAAATGACGGGGGAATCAGAGGCAGTGTCGTCACACTTGTTTACTTCTCCGATCATCAAAGTCTATAAGAAGGAAGAGAATGTTTCCTATGAATACCGTAGGGGAATCAGTTTGACTAATATTGCATTCAAGATCCTAGGTTCCATGGTTATCCGACGCCCAACTAGAGCTCGAGAACACCACACTCGAGTAAACCAAGCAGGTTTCAGAGCTGAACGAGGTTACATCGATCACATTTTGGTCCTCCAAGAGGTTGTGGAACAAAAGTATACCTATGGGCCAGTGGCCGATACCTACTACATTTCTTGACATGAAGGCGGCATTTCACTCAGTCGACAGTGAGGTTTTGTAGCAGTATCTGACTAAAGGAAGTACTGAGCAAGTACATAACGCCTGTCAAAGCCGTCTACTCGAACTTGTCCAGCCGTGGTGGCGCTTATGGAGAGTTGTCATTTGAACTGATGATAATTAGTTGTGTCTACCACGTATGCGCATTGTAAACGTTCCCATTTACTTTCGTTGTAGACGTACTGATGGACATAACCTTAGGTATGTCTGACTTTGAAAGGACTGACCTACTCCCTGGCGACCATCTGGTTGACTTGGCGTATGTAGGAGATCTTGTCCTGCTGGGTGAAGATGCTGACGCAATGCGGGGTATGTTTGGCAGGGGTTTCGCTGGCACCAGGACTGGTCCGGTGCAAGTAATCGCAGTTTACTGATAAGGAGTGAGGTGGTTAAATATGTCGAACTCCTCATCCACTTGGTAGTTTGCATTGGGTGGAACGGGTTGGTTGCTGATGGGATCTCAGCTCAGATACAGAACGCCCATTCGGCATTTGCCAACTCGTGTCACTTGCGGCGCCGAGTGGAGAGATATCCGACTATCTGTCAAAGGACCAGTATACTGTGTCGCAGTTCTTTCCATCCTTTTGTACGGCTGAGACGTGGCTGTTGAAAGTAGATATGAAGCGGTTACAAGTGCTTGATAATAGGTGTCTTCGTGCCATTGCTCGGGCTTGGTGGAGTCATTGTGTAGGTATTGTTGAGGTTGGACAAAGTGCACTGAGCGGGACAGGCAAGTCAATTGATGAGGTTATGTATCTCAGTCGGCTGAGATAATTTGGACATGTACTGTGCTTGCCAAGCTACCACTTACCTCAACGCGCCATGCTGGGGGAAGTTGCACTAGGTTGGAATAGGGTTCAGAACGGCCAGACAAAGATCTGGTACCAGTCGATGAAGTCCCTGAATGTTGGACTTAGTCATGTGTGGAGATGTAGACTACGTGATTAAGGTCCTCGAGATGAAAGGAATCAGTGATTGAGGAATGTTGGTGGCATGGATGAAAACCGGCTACAATGGCGCGGATTTATTCACTCGTTAACATCTAAAACTTGAATATCCACACTAAAATTTATCCGTAGATTGTTTTTTCCCTCACGATACTCTTTCTTTGATGGTAGCTCAAACCGGTACACTTGTGTGCGAGGTTCTGCGTTGATTTTGTTATTCAGTTAGCTATCTGTATGTGGACAGGGAGGCATTCCAATTATATTAGATAACATGATCCTCCAGGACTATTTTCATATACTTATTACTTCTATCACAAGATAATCCTAATATTTACTGTTGTACTCAGATTTCAGATTCGGATTTGTTGTTTTGGGATCGAGTGCGATGGGTCTACAATAGAAGGTCGTTTTGCTGGCTCAGTTTCTTTTAAATGAGTAAATTGGTGACACAGACATCTCTTTTCCTGGAGGTTGGTTGCGAGTGCTGATTACTGGAATTGAAAATCAGTTATCTATGGAGATGAAGTTCATTCTTTCCTTCTTAATCACCTGTTTTGTCGGCTAAATTGTTGGGAAAGAAAATGGAAAAAATATTACGTTCAACGTCATTCCTTGAGATCTTGTATAGTATGATTAAATGTCGTTTCTGCCTGCGATACGTAAAGAAAAGGGTTTCAGACCCTTAAGTTGTTTTTCATGGTTTAGAATTCCCGTTGTAAGGATCATAAAAGTGGCCATCCTTGAACCATTTCCGAAAGTCTGAGTCACCCTTTAAACAAGGACTTGACACTTGCGCCTAGGTTTCTAGCTTGGATGTAACCAAGGGCGTGCATTATTTAGTTAAAATATTGTCACCGACCATCGTAAATGTGCCACGTATTCCCTAAGATATCCTGAAGTTTTGAACTGAAATCAGTCGACAGTGCGCTGTGGTATTGTCATTTTGACTTGCTGTAGATCCTAGGCCATGGTGAGTCAATAGTAAGGGCAGAGGAATCATACCAATGTCGTATGCGTTGCTGTCTGCATGGCTAATGTTCTGGGACTGGTACTTATCTGTGCTGATAGGCTGCAGCTGTTCGTTTGACTACGTTAACGAAATGTTTAGGTGTGCCTTAAGTGTATGTCCATCATCGTTATCTCTTATTTCTTGCCAACTACTTACATCATCAGTGTGGAGAGTCAAGCGAAATTTCATGAAGTTTGGCAGTCCAGGGTGAGGTCAGTCGGTAGTGTTCTGCAGTCTTCAAATCAAAACTTACTGTGACTCCTAGGTCATGGTGGGTCAATACTGAGGTCAGAGAAGTCCTACCAGTGGTGAGTGTTACATTCTCTACTCCCTGTGTGTATCTTCACACATTTACCTACGTTGATAAGGACCGGAAATTTCTCTATAGGGGTCTAGCTGTAGTGAACGTACATCCTATTCATCCCTAATTTCTGGCTAGACATTCAGATAAGCGTGGAGAGCTGT